AAGAGCTGCAGGCATCTAAATGTATCCATAGACACTTTGGGTTTGGTAGTTTCCTCTTTACATTTTAGAGTCTGGTTATGGGGTTAGGACTGCCACAGGGCCAGTGCAGGTCTTCAAATGCCAGACCTGGTTTCAGATCGGTGGAGGAAAGACAGAGTTCAGAGCGTCCCTGAGAAGAGAAAGGCTAGGACCAAACACCTCATTACTTTAACGATCTTTCAGGGAGTTATTTACTCGTGTTCTACAAATGCACTTTAAGGGTTAGCATTTCCTGATTAGGCAAGAAGAGATCCCTCCCAAGGGTAGGTCTGACCAATACAGAGCATCAACATTGAGCAATGATATGATCCCAGCCTTGGCTCTTGGTTTCCATCTTTCTGCTGCCTTTTCCTCTTTCACCTCTGATCGCCTTCTCAATGCACACAGAACTGGACACTATTCATCCAGTTAACAGACACCATAACCTGTAAAAATCCAAATATACACTCTGATTCCTGCTGAAAGGGGCACTGGGAAGCTCCTAGATCACAGAAGGTCTTGAAATTTCAGGAAATAAAGTGAGAAACATTGGGCATACGAGTTATTCCCTGCATTCTATAAGAGAAAGAATAACGTTAGGGAATGTCAACTTCAATACTGTCTGTTATTAATTTTGCAGGTTTAAAACAAGAATATCTGTATATACAATGCACAAGTTTATGTTAATCATTTTTAGGGCAAGTGTCATTAAAAAATTCAGAATACAGAAAAAATCAATTTTCAGCAGCGTTGACCCATAATGAACTGTGGCATCAAGCAGAATTTCCTTCACATGCAGTTTAGGCCAGGTTTGGGTCCAGTACACTGTGGAAACTCTCCTGTAGATGAACTTTGCTTCAAAGTGGAGTCGACTGTCTTAGAGATGCTGCATTCTTGAGTTCTGTTTCACCTTATCGTTTAAAGGAGATTCAAAGCACAGAACGTACATCTGTGGCTCAGCCACTCTCCATTCATAAAGTTATTGTCTTTGCATGAGGGGAAGGGGTTTCTGTAAACACCTCATCATGTCTAAAGGAGTGCTGATCACGCCATTAGTTGAGAAGTTGCCATAGGCCCTATAACTATTGCAGTGAATAAGGAGCGTGGATGTTAGCTGAAAGTTGCCACAATTGCCTGAGATAGCCAACCTTACACTCTCTTCTTGGGAGGGCATTTGCTTTTCTAAAGCTGAATTTTAATAGAGGGTTAAGTCAGCCATGCAGGCTCTAGTTCCAGCAACATGGCAACTGGAACCAATTGTCTATGAAGGGTGGGAGCATGGTGTGATGGGGTCCTTTCCTAGTTAAAATTTGCAGAGCAAAGAGACCCAATGCACGGAAATATGTTAGTTGTTCTGGAGTTAAATGTAACACATTCCAAGACTATGAATATGAAGTGAAGTGTTTAGTGCCTAAATGAGCTTTCCTGGGACTCAATTTTTATCAGTAGAGTTGACTTCCCCACTAATGTGGGGGGTGGGAGCGGGCAAGGATATATCTGAATAAAGATTTTTCTCTCATTAAAATTCAACTTTGTACGCTTTAAGGAAAACTGGACTTTTCTTGGTCTTCTCCAAGAATTGAGATCGCATGTCTTTGCTGCAGACATTCATGGGACACCAGTCCTCTTTCTGGAATGTCCCTTCCTAATGTAGAAAAGTTTCATGATAAGGAAGACTTGCACTCAACATGACGCTTTGCCAGAGTATTTCCCTTTGGGCACAAGAGCAAGCCTATTTCTCTTGGAATCTTGCCCTCACATTTAGATAAGCCATTCCTTTCTCTAATTCTCAAGATCTCATTCAGTAACTACCATCAAGACCCTGAAGACACAGCTGTCTCTATGCTGGACCTAAGGACTTCTTAATATCCTCCTTTGAACACGTATAAGTAAAAGAGATCATTTCCTGGAACCTACCAATCAATTGTTTTACTATAACAAGGAATCATCCAACATGTTTTATTTCTTTGTTTCCAAAATGTTTGGAAGTGCCTTTACATATATGTTAAATATACTGTGGAACATACACAACAGATCATACTGAAAACCATGGGTAATATAATGACAGAGATACATTATACAACCAAAAAAGTATATAGAAGCACAATGTTATAACAGCATGCTGTGTTTATAATATCTGCTGTTTACCAGGGAACAAGAATCCAATTTAAAAAACTAGAAAGTAAGGGATAACACCCTTTTTTGTCAAATACCAGACAAAATTTGTTCCTACTGTTTGCTGCCTTGAAACCACCCAAAAGTTCACAACAGACTGGACTGTGTGGGTTTGGGGGCTGACACCTGGGACACAAATTTAAATTTTAAGACAACAGCATGCTCTTTAGACACGTTATAGATAAGAAGTAATTGTAAAATGTATTTGCCATGGGGAGACACACATGACCTCCCTCCAAGAGGACGGATCTGCTGTACAATACTCAATATACGGATGGACTATCTTTCAATGTTTTAGAGCCACTTCTTTTTCCCTGGATTTGATCATTTATTCCTTAATTCTCCACTCTCAGCTCCTGCCTTTCATTATTTTGGTATTCACTTAAACCCACAGTGATGTGTCAGGAATGCCTGTAATATCACCTGTAATGGGGGTTGGGCAACAGGTTTCTTCTTGGAATCCACATTGAATTTTAAATAGATGCCATTCCTAGAAGTCCAAAGTAAGTCTCCCAGTGGAAGACAACTACAGAAAGGGACTCACTTGGTGATCTGTGCTAAGAGGGAGCACTCCAGTCCCTCCATCTGTCTCTCTTGGCATCTTTTGGCATGTGAACTCACAGATGTGAGACAATTCACTAAACTGAAGCAACTGAGAGGGTAGTAGGTCCAATGCACATTTACAGATGTGCCCAGTGAAAAGTGGCACCAGCCAGAATAATGAAAGAAGAATGCTGAGTACCTGGAGGGGTGTGCTTATCAATGCCAGGAGTATGCTTCTTTTCAGCTTACAGCTTTTACAAGAATGAAAATGCTTGTACTATGTGGGGGCATACACGGATAAAATGGAGATCCTAAAGTGATTATGACTGGGGGGAAGGCACACTGTCTAAGGAAGCATCTCTAAGTAAAGTAACTAAATCATATGGGCCGTATGTACACTTGCCTTTTGTATTTTTTCCTCCAGTGAGTCAGATTCCTACAAAGGAGGTAACAATAAAGCAGCAGACTTTCAGCTCCAACCTTATAAGGGAAAAATAGAAATTTTCACATGCTCTTTTGGCTAAAGGAAGTAAAGAAGGAAGCGTCAGGTCAAAAGTGATTTAAGCCATCTCAAAGAAGTAATATTTCCAAAAGGGTAGAAAAATCAGCATCACACAACCCCGAATTCCAAAGCAGCATCCATCTCTCTGTTTGTAAAGTGCTTTATTCCAATGAGCAGGGTAGGTGTATAAAAATGTCATCTGTCCTCTCAGTTTCCACAGCACCTAAAGAGACTTCAGTCATTAACATAAAATTACAATGTTTCCTCTGAACAACTGACCAAGAGCAGCAATTAAAGCCAAATAAATTTTAAAGGCATCTCATAGAACATGAAGATTGTCCACTATTGTGAGTTGATAACATTATTGCTTTCTTGGACTGGGAAGATAATTTCCCTAATGGACTTGAATTGTTATTTCCCATTTGGAAAATGATGGTGTCCTGCTTGCTTTGAACCATAGAATAGTCTAGAAACACCGTAATCCAGGCTAGAGTGCTTCTGCACATTTTTTGTATTTTTAAAAATTTCTAAAAGCAAACAACAAAAGAACCTTATAACCTACCTAAATTATGTAAAACCATAAAGAAACTAACAGGCACTACAGATTACAATACCAAAAAAATTGAAATGCTGTGTTTGCATTTTGCACACACAAAAAACATCTAAATATAAAGGGTTCATTCTTTTACAAATCTCATTTCAAACTTTCCTTTTCCTTCTCTTTATGAAACAAATTTTACTAAACTGTATACATGCACTTTGGGGAGAACCTACTGCGTTCTGTGGCTCAGTCGTTCTACATTCGAAGGAAAAAGAGGAGGGAGCTGTTAGTGGAACACAATTACTCAAAGTGCTGAGCAATCATTCTGATGGCGATGGGTCTGTACACCTGGGAGAGCATTTTGGCTCATTTGCTGCCAACATTTTAGAGGCAAGAAAACCTCAATTTCACAAAGCTAACTCCTATGTATACATCCAGTTATTTAAATGATGTCTGTAGGGCCTGGAGAAAGACCAGGCTTGGTATGGGACATTTATTATGACATGTCAAGTTATTGCCAAAGGGACATCCTTATTCATCCTGAAAGCAAGGGCTGGCATTTGCCAGATGCTAAAGATGATGTTGACAATTCAAAGAACACACACACGCCAATAGAAAGCCTGTGGGGACTTAGCCAATGCACCCACCAGTGTTCCAGCTGAAACTTAGCCTCAGCCTTATGAGACAAACCCCCAATTGTCTTGTATCTTGCTATGTCTCTAGAGCTCTGCCTGTCTGGGTCCTCAGCACCCCAAGCCCTTGACCCCATAAAAGCCCTTGCCCCAAATACATACACATAACCAAGCCATTGACAAGCCAAGACTAAAAGGGAGACAGAGGTCAAAGGCTATCAGAAACCTGCTGCATCATACAGCTCAGCACTGAGTTTTGAGACAGTTGACCCCAGACAAAGATGTGAGAAACACTAGCCCTCTTTCAGAGACAACTGGAAAAATGTTTTTCCCAGCATGCTAGAAGAAAATAGAAGTTTTTAAGAAGTAAATGTTGTTCGCAACTTTTAAGAAATGTTTTCTTTTGGTGTCCATTTATCACTGCCTCAAGGGTATTAAAATCTCTGCTGAAAAGAAAAATATACCTATAAATATAGCTAATCAAACAGATGCTGATACTAAAATTGAAATATGTGGATAAAAATAATGAAACCATTAAAGAATGTTTAAATGTTTATTTTCAGGTTAAAAATGATGAATTACCCTGTGGTTAGAATAGGCTGGAAAATGAAGTCACTTTATTTTTGAAATAGTTCCAGAAAAAAAAGAAAGGGAAAAATCCAAAAGAAATGAAGAGTAAGATCAAAATGTTCCAGCAGATTCCATTAACAATCCAAACATGAGCCACATCTTTTCCAGGCCAGAATTCTTAGTTCAGCATTTCACGATGTTTGGTCCCAATGTTTTCCCCACCATCTTTCAGATACTTTGGAGTGAGATGTTTGTACATTTAAAAGCTACAGTTTTGCATGCTTTTATTTTAAAATGTATTTATTCCAATACACCTCTCAGTGTTTCAGTATATTGCCTATATTACATACAAAAATATCTGCTACCCCTATTTTAGCATAACTTTTCCACCATTCATACTGTCCTTTCACATAATAGGTGATAGGCATTACATTGCGCATGTATAATTTTAGTGCAGAAGAGGGCTGCTGAGTGTATAAACCATCTACGGCATCATTCACAGAGACTGGAATGGAAAATTGAGACCATTTCTTATATGATGAGAGTAGGAAACACACGGTGCTGGTGACACGGAAGATGCATATGAAAGGAACACCCTCTTTGCTCCTTGCTGTTGGACTGAATAGTTCTTCTCTGATGGACAGAGCTTTTACTGTGGTCCTAACATCCCAACACTGGGAAGACCCCTCCCTAAAAGAGTGAAACAAGAATGCTGATCAAAATGCACAAAGGCAAACTTTCTAAAACTTAAAAATTAGCAAGGTACAAATTAGTCTACAGATGTGGCAATGGGACAAAAATTAATCCATTTTTCCCTGCATTGATGTTTACAAATAGAAACTTTCTGTCTAGATACTAAGGATTACTATAGTCTGGAAATTTACCCTGGCCAGTGTGCAATATAAAACATGTAGAAAGTCAAATTATTCCCTCCCTTGGAACACATGGAGTATTCTGAGGTTTGTTAGGCATTGTTCTTCTGGGGGGAACTTGCAGTGTCTTTCTTCTTGCTTTCTTTCAAATGCAATACACCTGTGTGTTTAAAGTCCAGTTCTTTGATGTAGCAGCTGCTTCTCAACCCCTGCAATCTGAGGCAGTGCATCTGAACCCTGGAGACAATGGTCCCCATCTTCAACTGTTCCAGGTCGTGTGGTCATCAGTTAGAATCTGAACCTCCCATGTGACCCTGGAGTTCACAGCCCTCTCTCGAGGCTTGCTGATGTCTCCCTCGGGAGGAGTCTGAGCATTCTGTTCTCATGGGAAAGGAAGGGACTTTACCTATGGGAGCAATAATTTGGGTATCTCAGCAATAAAAACCTGGAAAATCCAGGCAAATGCCTGGCCCCCTGGAAATTGGATTTCAAGGCTTAATAGTTTATATCTTTCTCCCCACTTTAGTTTTGTTATTATGGGGCATAGTGCCTAATAATTGTGCTGGAAAACAAGGTGATATAACCCATGGTTTATCATTTGCAGGAAATATTTAGAGCAGAAAACACTTCAGTTCTGTTATGATGAATAGTGCTCATGCAAAATATGAGAACAAGTGAGAGTCACTGTTGATTCCCACTAAATAGTTTATTTTCTGGCTCTTCAGTATTCTTACACACACACACACATACACACATGCACACACGGGTATATGTATGTGTTTATATATGTGAGAGTGTATGTTACATGGTAAAAGGAACCCTTCCCCCTTCCATGTGATTTTTATTTCNATTACATTGCGCATGTATAATTTTAGTGCAGAAGAGGGCTGCTGAGTGTATAAACCATCTATGGCATCATTCACAGAGACTGGAATGGAAAATTGAGACCATTTCTTATATGATGAGAGTAGAAAACACACGGTGCTGGTGACACGGAAGATGCATATGAAAGGAACACCCTCTTTGCTCCTTGCTGTTGGACTGAATAGTTCTTCTCTGATGGACAGAGCTTTTACTGTGGTCCTAACATCCCAACACTGGGAAGACCCCTCCCTAAAAGAGTGAAACAAGAATGCTGATCAAAATGCACAAAGGCAAACTTTCTAAAACTTAAAAATTAGCAAGGTACAAATTAGTCTACAGATGTGGCAATGGGACAAAAATTAATCCATTTTTCCCTGCATTGATGTTTACAAATAGAAACTTTCTGTCTAGATACTAAGGATTACTATAGTCTGGAAATTTACCCTGGCCAGTGTGCAATATAAAACATGTAGAAAGTCAAATTATTCCCTCCCTTGGAACACATGGAGTATTCTGAGGTTTGTTAGGCATTGTTCTTCTGGGGGGAACTTGCAGTGTCTTTCTTCTTGCTTTCTTTCAAATGCAATACACCTGTGTGTTTAAAGTCCAGTTCTTTGATGTAGCAGCTGCTTCTCAACCCCTGCAATCTGAGGCAGTGCATCTGAACCCTGGAGACAATGGTCCCCATCTTCAACTGTTCCAGGTCGTGTGGTCATCAGTTAGAATCTGAACCTCCCATGTGACCCTGGAGTTCACAGCCCTCTCTCGAGGCTTGCTGATGTCTCCCTCGGGAGGAGTCTGAAATCTGAACCTCCCATGTGACCCTGGAGTTCACAGCCCTCTCTCGAGGCTTGCTGATGTCTCCCTCGGGAGGAGTCTGAGCATTCTGTTCTCATGGGAAAGGAAGGGACTTTACCTATGGGAGCAATAATTTGGGTATCTCAGCAATAAAAACCTGGAAAATCCAGGCAAATGCCTGGCCCCCTGGAAATTGGATTTCAAGGCTTAATAGTTTATATCTTTCTCCCCACTTTAGTTTTGTTATTATGGGGCATAGTGCCTAATAATTGTGCTGGAAAACAAGGTGATATAACCCATGGTTTATCATTTGCAGGAAATATTTAGAGCAGAAAACACTTCAGTTCTGTTATGATGAATAGTGCTCATGCAAAATATGAGAACAAGTGAGAGTCACTGTTGATTCCCACTAAATAGTTTATTTTCTAGCTCTTCAGTATTCTTACACACACACACACACACACATGCACACACGGGTATATGTATGTGTTTATATATGTGAGAGTGTATGTTACATGGTAAAAGGAACCCTTCCCCCTTCCATGTGATTTTTATTTCGAACTGAGTTTTAACACAAAACAAAGGTGACTCTACAGAGGCTATATCACTCTGGGTGACTAAGTTATCCACAACAGGCACCTTCAGGACCGTGGTCAGTTCCCAGCTCTGTTGAGAAACCACTGTCACATTAGAATGCTCCCCATTCTGCCCACTGCACCCTATCAAGCACTCACTCCCATGGTAGGAAGTGCTCTGATTTGTCTGCTTGCTCCTTAATAATGCTCTCCATGACAATGCTAATTTCCTTTGCCCCCTCCCAAATTATACCCCCACACTGTCTTACTTTACCAGTGGGAGGCAGCCTGCTATATGCATGGGAGAAATTTCCCCTGCTTCAATTGAGTTTCTTCACTTTCAGAAATGAATTCCCATTATTTCTGGACTGTTGAAAATGAAAAGGGAGAGAGAATTGAAAAAGTCTCATCGAAGAAGCTGGACACATCTGGATAGCTACGTGTCGATTAGTGTGCAAACTTGTCTTCAGTCCTCCACAGTTGTTTTGGGGCTACACCCCCACCAAACCCTTGGAAAAGCCTTTGGCTAACTGAGGAGCTCTTCCTGAAAGGTGTCATCCATCTCCTTGCAAACTCCTTTTGCAGCTAATGCCTGGATCTCTTGACTTCATTCTCCAGTCAAATTAAAAGATTTTTGGAACTCCACCAGCTTCATTTCCTAAGCCCCATTTTAAACACTTACAGAACCAACTGAACACAGGCCTTGAGGGGTCAGGCCTATGTCACCTACAATTTCAGTACTGTTCACAAACACAGTGTAGTCCTGTGGGAGGTACAGGAAGAACTTAATGGCAGCCACTTTCTGGCTAGAGGAGGCTGGGTTGTCATGTTCCCATCCACAGAAATCTGCAATAAGAGAACAATTGGATGCCTCTCTTTTGAACAACTCAGTCATCAGCCATTTGGAGTCAGGGAACTGCTTCAGGTGATCTCCTGCAGGTCGTTCTTATTTTTGCCCTTTAAAATTCTATTTCTTCAAGACACAAGTGGATCATTAAAACTCATAATGAGGCATACTAGTCCATTGTCTGCTTTTCCAACAATATTGTCTTAATAAATAAAAATGTTGTCACATTTTCCTAATCTGAAATTTTTGCTTTGCTTGAGACAATTCATGATGTTCTTTAAATAATATTTTATTTTAAAAATATGCAGGAATTTCTTTTTTGTCTTGCCACTTTGATTTTTCAATAGCTGTTGTTTTCTCATAATAGCTGCTTCTTGAGAACAGTTTGGAACAGTCATTTATTTTTATGAATTTTGGGGGAAAACCAATTGCTTTTTCCACCAATGCACACCCTGTAAAGGTTTTATCTCTGCCAGAGTCATAATTGAGAATTTATTTTTTGGTCATTGTCTGGATGAATTCCTATGTATTGCTAACTTGAAACATCATTCTACTTACCTTTTTAAGTTTGTATTCTGGTAAAATGGAAAGTTTAACCTGCAGCTATTTTCTAGGCATAGCCCCTCTATGTTGATCAATTCTACTTTTAGATTTCAGTTTGAATAATAAATTGCATTGATCACAAATCACTTGTATAAATACAGCTATGCTGGGGTCTTTTTGCCCTCAGAAATGCACTCCAGGAGTTCCCCATGAATTTTCAACAAGCAGAGGATAAAAACAAATGTTCGTGACTCATAACTTTGCTCCAAACTTTTGAAGCATCATGTAGAAAACTGTATAGAGATGGTCCTCCCTCACAGTTTATTAACATTTTAAGTAAAACCCCTTGTCCCAGTTTTATACAAGAAAGTTCAGCAATGAAAGGAGGGGGGAAATAGTGAGAACAAGATGCTTAAATGCTGTCCCTAAACAATGAAGGGTGTAAAACTGGAAAAACCTGACATCCCACATGGAGACCCAGGAGACAACATGGCAAGGCAAACCCCAAGGAACGAAACTCATATGTAAATCAAACAGGCCTCAAAGAAAAGACTGAAATTTCTTCTTTTTGTGTCTCAGAAAGAATTCCAGAGGTCAAAGGAACAGGTGCAGGTGCAAATGTATATAAAAATAATGAGCAGCGCTCGTAACAAGTAAGGAGAGCTACATTCAGTTAACTTTCATGTATGTCTAAACTCAGGCCGAGGGCAATAAGAGTCCACTGTGCTTTAAAAGGTCTAGGAATACAAAAATCACACCCAAATCTTTTCTAATTCCACATGGCCATTTGTCATGAGATGACTAACAATGTCTGTGGGGTCAGGTCTATTGTATTCTCACTGAGCTAGTACCAGGCAGCAGATAAAACTGTCGCCTTAGAGTTTCTCCAGTCCCTACATGTGGCTGTTTTAGAAGCATTTCGTGGCTTAACACACAGCTGCCCTAGCTCTCCTAACCTCTGGTACCTGCTTAGGAAGGGATCCCACCAGACCTCCACAAAATAAACTTTGTTAGATCATCCCCTATTGCTGATCAAACTCACTGCTCCACCATTCAAAAAACAGAAGGCATAAAGGTGAGTACAAACATAAGAAAGGAGTTTACATCTGGTCTTGCAGTCTTTCCATATAGTCTCTAAAGTCCTGCGAGTCCCCCAGCCCCATATCTTGGCAGACCCACTTGATGTTGTCATCACTGTCAAACAGGATGGAGTTGGTGTAGGGGCCGCCGTCCTCTGGGAGGATGGTGGTGTAGGAAGTAAACTTGACTCGCTTCCTCTTTGGGCCCGAAGGATTGATAGGTTCATTTTTAATTTCTTTCTCATAGACATAGTCAGAAGGCCTGAGCAGTTGACTATGGAAAGTCTTCTGGGAGCTGCCATTCAGAAGGAAGTTCCTCTCCTCAAACTGCAGCCCCCTGTCTATCATGGTGGTGCACTCCTCCGACGGGAGTGTGATGTCAACGGGGTTCTCCAGAAGTTCCACTTCATTCCCCAGCCTGACCCAGTCATGGGAATGGGGGATGTTGCCTTGCTCACTCACAGCAAACCTTTTGTGTCTATATTTCCAAGCAAATGCCACACAGTTGATTAAGAAGACCAGAATGGCCAGGCAGAAGACACAGAGCAGGGCATACATGCCAATCTCCAAGTCTGTTAACCCCCTTGAGGTCACTGTAAGATCACCAGGATTATTGGGTTCTGGTAACTTCCCTTGAGTGGGGAAGCTTGTGAAAGTATCTGGACCACCACTCCTAAGTAACTTCTTATCCCTCCCTTCCATAGGAGACTGTGGGGTTGTGCTTTTGTTGGTACTTTCCTCTTGGCCAACTGATGCGCCATGTTGGAACCGTTCCTGAACTGCTCTCTCCTGGTTTCCTTCACGCTCAATGGAATTACTGAGGTGGTCTTTATATTCCCGATTTATCCCCTCAATATCATTGGTGCCTCCTTGGTGCTCAATACCTGGTTCAAATTTGACCTTGATATTTCCTTTACCCACAGCAAGAACACTCTTCCTCTTGGTCTTCTGACAAGGTTCACTAATCATCATTTCTAACTTAATCAAGGGTCCTTGCCCTTCACCTTCTGCAATCACAACCGGCCATCTGGACTCAAGGTTTGGCTGGATAGACACCACCATTTCGTCCAACGATGAGGCAGTAATTGAAAAATCCTTGGTATCGTAAATGTCTAGAGGTGTCACTGAACCATCACTGAACAAAATCCAAGAACTGACTATTGCTTCCTAAGGAAAATGAAACCAAAGCATTATGTTATAATCAGGTTCCTTCAAATTTGCAAACATAAATATGATTTCCTATATAAATTCTTTAAATATACACAGAGAAATACACTATGTTTTGTAATCTTGAACAGTTCTTGTCATGCCTTGACCTGACACAAATAGTGTGCTGTAGCCCCACTGGTTTGAAGAACAAATAATATACTTTAATGAATGCATTGAAATTTTTAATAATTTATTGCATGCATACAACAGAATTTGACTTTGACCTTTCTAAAAACATTTTGAAAGATCAGGCAATTTATCTGAATCAATTTCAGGTGCAACTAATCAGGCTACTGCTCAAGATAATACCACTTAGAACATTCATTATTAGGAAGCCAGTGCTAATGAAGCACAACACGCACTGGCTGGGAGTACTTCGTAAAAGATGCAGTATGAGGCTGGCTTATTTGAAAGGCACAGTGCCCCTGGCATCTTTATAAACAATTTGTAAAAGTTTAAAGATAGAGGAGAGTTTTAAAGTTGACGATAATTGCAATAAACAGTAGAAATTTGGTGCCTGTTAGCCATGCTTGTTCAAGTAGCTGAAATGGAATTTCCAAGTTTCAAAAACCACCTGCTTTGGCAAAAGTGAGAACATGAATCCTCCGGTCATGCTCTAGCAGCACCTGTGTCTAGCACAGATAAGCCCTCTGAAAAGGCATGTGGACACGTGTTCAGTGTGTAAAAGCAAATAGAAGGAAAAATGTATCCAAGCCTCTGAGTATTTTCCGAGAGAGAGAATAGCCTAGATAAGAAGCAGAAGGAGCTTCAAGAATCACCAGTCCTAGCTACGAGTGCTCTACTGATCTTTTGGGTAGGAGGTGATAACCAAGAGAGAAGTTGCCTCGATTGACCAGGGACACCAGTGCCTCTGGAAATCTTACCTGTTGTGGGGCTTGAAGAACATCCTGGGCAGCTGCTGTTGAGACAATGGCCCTTTTGTCTGCTCTGTGAGGCTGCAGGGAAAGAGATAAGCCAGCCACAAGCTGCACACCCAGTTCTGCAATGGTGACTCGGTCATCCAGGACAATCACTGTCTTCTCAGCCAGGATGGAGTCAGAGAGAGGCGAGAGGACCTTCAAGATAAGCGAGAAAGCTCATTTCTCTGCTCTTCATAACCATTTAAACTCTTTAATTGGTGTTTTCACCAAAGTGTTCTCCTAGCTCTCTGATAAATGAATGTACTGAGGGAAACTCTGTAAATAAGTGTTATGATATTGTTCAATTACTCTCGCTAGTTGAAGGAGTTAAGATCATCTTGGCCCATTTTCATTCTTTTAATTCATACAATGATAATAGCAGTATATTTTCTGGGATGAAAATATAGGTGAAATTATATAACTTAATTTAGGTGGCAACTAAAAATTGCACACCTAGGGCTGACCAGTTAGCTCACTTGGGAGAGCATGGTATTTACAACACCAATATAAAGGGTTCAGATCTCTGTACTGGCTGGATGCAAAATATATATATATATCCACCTTGGTACTAGGCACTCCAAGAGTAACATTTTCCTAACAACTAATATTTATGCTTTGAAACTGGCAGAATTATGTTAAAATTCTTTAAGTAATTGGTGCTTAGCCATCTTCTGCTCATGTCCCTTCTGGTAGGTAGGTGGATGTTTACTACAGGACAATAATTATAATTTTGTGAGTTGCTGTGTCATCACTGGATAAACCAGTTAAGTGAAGTTGGAAAGGGAATCTTAATGCCCTAAGAAGCATCTACCTACTGGGCAACCAGGGGTGACTAAGACCTGGAGAGGAATATGCAGTAGGCAGAATTTTAGAACAGTCCCCCAAAGATGTCCTGCCCTGATCCCAGGTACTTGTGAACATGATGAGAAAGAACTCCTGATCATGTTATAGTACATGGGACAGTTGGCCTTAAAACAGGGAGGTTTTCTTGAATGATATATGTAGACTAGATGTAGTCACATCGGCCCTTAAAGCAGGTAGTTTTCCCTGGATGGTGGCAGAAGGAAAAGTCAGAGAGATTCAAGGTGTGAGAAACACTTGATCCAGCCTCTACTGAAGATGAAGTAACCACATGAGAAGGGATGCAGGTGGCTTCTTGCAGCAGAGAGTGGCAGTCAACAAGGAAACGGGGACCCCAGCCTTACACACAGAAATAACTAATTTCTTCCAACAACCTGAATGAGCTTGGAAGCCAATCTTCCCCCAAATTCCTGGATAAGAGCCCAGCCGAGCCTACACCTTGATTTCAGCCTGCAGTACCCTGCACATAGAACACAGACTAGGGGCCGGCCCGGTGACGCACTGGATAAGTGCGCCGCTTGGGAAGCGCGGCGGCGCTCCCGCCGAGGGTTCGGATCCCACATACAGACCAGTTCCTGCTCACTGGCTGAGCGAGGCGCGGGAGCAACACCGAGGGTTTATTCAAAAGATTCAAAAGAATATTAAAATTTTGCAAATATTTTCTCCCACTCTGTTGGTTGTCTTTTAACTCTGTTGATGGTTTCTTTTGCTGTGCAGAAGCTTTTTAGTTTGATATAATCCCATTTGTTTATTTTTCCTTTAGTTGCCTGTGCTTTTTGGGTCCTATTCATGAAGTCTGTACACACTCCTACTTCCTGGAGTGTTTCCCCTATGTTTTCTTTAAAGAGTTTTATTACTTCAAGATGTATACTTAATTCTTTAATCCATTTCGAGTTGATTTTGGTATATGGTAAAAGGTACAGGTCTAGTTTCATTCTCCTACATATGAGTATCCAGTTTTCCCAGCACCACTTGTTGAAAAGGCAGTCCCTTTCCCAGTATATAGATTTGCTGTCTTTGTCAGTGATCAGGTGGCTGTAGGCATATGGACTGGCTTCTGGGATCTCTGTTCTATTCCATTGATTCATGTGTCTATTTTTATGCCAGTACCATGCTGTTTTGGTTATTATAGCTTTGTAATATAGTTTAAAGTCAGGTAGTGTTATGCCTCCAGCTTTATTTCTTTTTTTTGCTCAGGATTGCTTTGGCTATATGTGGTCTTTTGTTGTTCCATATAAATGTCTGGATAGCTTTTTCCATCTCAAGAAGACAGAATAACCACAAAAATTCCTTGAACTATATAAGTCAAGTGAACAGATATGATGTGGTGGGGGAGGGAAGGGAGTGGGAAGGAATGGGTAAAGGGGCATGAAAATAAACTACAATGTATATTGAGAAATAAAATAAAAAAATTTTTTAAATCAATTTTATTTTGAAGAAAAAAAGAAATACGAGTGAATAAGTTAGTGTTGTTTTAAGATGCTAAATTTGTGGTAATTTTTTACACAGAAGGAAAAAATATAGATTATAACATGTTTAATCCAGTTTTATCCAAAATTAACTTTGGCAATACCTAAAATATGACTTAATCAACTATGAGCAGTACATTTTAAAATGGTATAAAGAAAATATGTTGCACCATTTCTGCATAATTATCCTGCCAAAACTGGCTAGAAAATAGTTTTACTATTTTTTTATTTTTATTTATCATACTATTACCATGATAAAATAGAGACCATTTAACTATAGATTTTATTATCTTTAGTGCAGATATGTTTTCTAAAATTTTGTCTATTGTTTAGGTATAATATAGCTAATTTGTTAAACTTCAAGGTTAAGAGGAGAAATCTAGCTTTTAGAGGTTCTGCCACCTTCTATCAGTGATATACAAAAAGCATATCACACTTGGAAGATTGCTTACATTATGTGTTCCATTTAGCTTTCTCTGGTGAAAGAGATTAGATATTTTTCTCAACTCTCTCAAATGTAAAAATTAATCTGAGTTTAGGTTATTAAAATTGATGAATACTCTATTACTTCTCATGATACTCTTACATACACACACAGACTCAATACATGCATGTGCACACACACACACACACACACACACACACACCCCTGCACCACAGCATCTACCCAGACACTCATCGATGCAGGCTGGTGTTAGGGGAAGGGCTAGGAGAGGACCGCCTCTACCTGCACTGTGGTGATTCCCGGCTCCTGACCAGCAAGGGTCCTGCCATCCTGTAACTGAGCGATTTTCGGCTCCTCCACCTTCATGAACTCGGTCACAAGGTCAGTGATGTCAAACTGCCAGTCGGGGCCCAGCATGTAGGTCATTTGACCTGCATCAGGCGACTCAGCCACAAACTGGGTGAGGACGCGCACCGCGGCATGCTGGTACTGCAGGGAGCACCCTCGTCCCTTCTTCTCCTCGTCTTCCTCATCGTCACTCTCCCGGGTAGGCCTGGAGCACAAACAAAGAAAATCAGAGTAAACACCCTCGTTGTTAAGAAGTTTTATTTGCCCTTGTTTGTCAGATTCCGTGTGACTGTGCAGGATGAAACTAAATGCTGTTCCTCCTACCAGATGTGCTCATGCATCTGCTCATTCACTCCATAAGCACTTTCTGGCGATCGCTGTGTGCTGCACGGGCTGCTTCATACGTGGAACACGGACAGCAAGTAAAGCTCCTGCCTTCACTCGGCCCAAGGCTGCAGGAGACTCAGGTCCAGGACAGGCAGACGTGGCATCTCTGTCCTCTGTGTTCTGAAAACTTATCATTTTAAAACTATCCCCCATGTGGGAATGAAGCAGACTTCATGTCTGTTGGGGGAAAGTGAGATGCTCACCCTGGAAATGAAAATAAGAGAGGCTGCGTTTCCTTCCTCACAGGTGTGCGTGAGGATCGAGTAGGTCAAGGTGCGGAGACACTTTAGGAATGGTCCTTCAGGAACCGCAAAGACTAATCACGAACCAACGGCTTGGGGCAGTTCAAAAACCCAGCCTCCTCTTTGCTGAGGCTCTTTCCCATCTCTACAGAAGCAGTTTTCTCTGAGCTCATGGCCCTGAAGGTTGCCAGAGTACACCTCTCCCACCACCACCCCACCCTAATCTAAAATAGTTGCCGCTTCCATTACCACTAACATATCTGAAATGCGTCTCTCCAGTCCCATCCTGGCCTTTCCCTTCCTTCCTTAGGGCTCTGGCCCTTTCTTTCATCCTGGAACATCATCTCCTCTGACCTCCTCCTGTCACACAATCCACCCCCAAAAAGGTTCTCTGGTTCTGCAATTCCAGAACCTTCCCCTCAAGAAGAACCTGTCTTGTGTCCTTTTATGAGAGCACTATGGTGACTGCTGACTAGTCTGTGACCATCAGTGGATGAGGACTTGAGCCAGGGAAGAAAGGGGCAGCAACTCATGTGTATTGAGTTAGACCTACTGTGTGTCCTGTTCCATGTGCTCTATGTAACATGGCAGCTTACATAGCTCGATCATGTAGCACACCCCAACCACACATATGTGACTTATTTAGTCTCCACAGAGAGAGGTTGAATTATTACCCTGATCTTACCAATGAGGAAGCCAAAGCCAAGGCCACCCCACTGGTCATCTGCAGAGGCGGGTCCAAGCCCAGGCCAGCTGCCCCCTTTGTATGTGTCCTCTCCCTTTTTATAGCCAACTCCTCTGACCTTATCAACAACCATAAAACAGTTTCCTATTTTGGCATGAAGAAACCACAGCTGGAGCAGTTAATATGTGGCCCAGACAACTGCTAATTAGCAGAGTTGGATCCGGTTCCATTTGACTTCTGAAACCCACCTTCTTTACAATATGCCAGTCTCCCTTCCTGAAAAGTCTGAGAACCATTTACAAAGTTATAGGGGAAATTTTCACCAGCACAGTAACACAGCAGTTTGGGTTTCCCAAAGCAAGGGTGAATATTTCTGTGGGTAAGAGAGATGATTTTAGGTGGCAAAGGAGCATAGCATTCAAAATCATTGAATGACATACTGAAAAATTATTCCTATTTTATTTTTCAATCCTTCTGAATACATCACAGGGAATGTCTCAGTTCAGAGCTAGGATGTCTTTAATGTTTCTCTGATACTTGGTAGTTTCCATTAATTAATAAAGAAAAACTCACACAGGCAGACAACAGTATTTACTCAGAATTTAATGATATTGTTTCATTTTATTTGTAATAATTTTAGGTTAAATTTATTTCATGATAAATAATACTAGTTGTCCACCCATGCTAGCGACATAACATTTCCCTTAAATAAATGAATAAAATTGAAAGAAGAACCCTATTAATTGTATTATATGTTTCATTAAAAAGTGGCGGTATCGTAAAAGTGGTTGGTGAACATTTAAAATTTTAGAAATGTTGTATTAGTAAATCAAAAGAATTCTGTTATTTTAAGACAGATTGTATCCTACTTATTTTTTAAAACTTTTAATTTTGAAATAATTAGAAATTCACTGACTCTTAAAAAGAAATGTAAAGAATGTCCATATACTGTTTATCCAGCACCCCAAAGTTAACATTTTCATAACTATAGGACAATATCAAAACCAGGAAATTGGCATTGATACACACAGAGCTTATTCAGATTTAGCCAGTTTTTATAAGCACTTGTTTGCATGTGTGTGTATGCAACTTAACATAAATGCATAACTTACTATGGCCTAACGATATCAAAGTTTTACCACTTTGAGTGTAGATACCTTAGTTCCATGTAAGTCCCTTTACCCTCCCCACTTTTAAGAATATAATTGTTTTATTTCATCTACATACTTTAAGTACCACATCAGAAGATCTCATGATTTTCGCTTCAACCACCAAATAGGATTTAAGAAATTCATGAAGAGAAGAGTCTGTCCTGTTTAACACTATTTTTACCCATCCTGTCATTCTTCTGACCTTTCTGAAGTTCCCAATGTTTTTCTGTTACCATTTTCTCTTTGTTTAGAGAAGTCCCATTAGCCATTCTTTAAGGGTAGGTCTCCTGGAAGCAAATTCTCTACCGTTATCTTTATTTAACAATGTCTTTATTTCCCCTTCCTTCCTCAAGGATACTCCTGTCAAATGTAGAATTTGAGGCTGACAGTTTTTTTCATTCAGTACTTGAACAATGTCCTGCCAAGTCCTTGGGGCCTCCATGGTTTCAGGTGTGAAATTCATTGTCATTCAAATTTGTGTAATTTCTTTCTGGATGATTTTAAGAGTTTTCCTTTGTCTTTCAGAAGTTTAACTACTATATGTCTTGGCATGAATTTCTTTGGGTTTATAATTTTTTTTGCCTCCCTCAGATTTTTGAATCTGTAAGTTTATGTCTTTTGCCACATTTGAGCAGTTTTCAGCCTTACTCCTTCAAATACTGTTTTAGCCCTGCACTCTTTCCCCTCTCCTCAGATTCTAATGATAGGAATTTTAGTTCTTTTGTTTTTGTTCCACGAGTTCCTGATGCTCTATTCACTTTTTGCCAGTCTGTTATCTCTTTTATCCAGATTGCATAAATTCTATCATCTGCCCTCAAGTTCACTGATTTTATCCTCTGTCATCCCCACTGTACTAGTGAGCCTATTCATTGAGGTTTTTTCCCCAGGTACAATATTTTTCAGTTCTGTAATTTATATCTGGTGCTTTTTTGTAAATTATGTTTCTTCACTGAGATTTTCTACTTTTTCATTGGTTTCAACAGTATTTTTAATTCCTTATTAAAAGCTTTTTTGAAAATTTTCTTTGTATGGCTGCTTTAAAATCTTTATCAGGTAATCCTAACACCTGATTTATGTGGGCATTGGCATCAGTTGATTGTCTATTCTTATTTAAGTTATGGATTACCCAATTTTGGTATGACAAATGATTTTCCATTGCATTCTGGACATTTTAGATATTATGATAAAAAAAATCTGGATCCCACTAAAATCTATTTTAGTCAAATTTGTCTTCTTTTAGTACATAGGTCCTGGCCCACTTTTGTGTAGTTTGGTTCTAATGACAATTTGGTTTTAGAGCGCTTTCATGACATTCTGTTTTGTTTTGTTCCCCTGGCACCGTACGGGCTCCCCCTCCATCCCTGCTGGTTTGCCTATAGGAGCACAGCACCCTTCCCTGGGCTAAGGAGAGTGTGGGAGGTACCAGACATGCAGGGCAGCATCATTTCCCTAGGCCTGCCCTTCACATTTCAGCAAAGGGTTTCAGAGTCCCGTCCTTAGCTTTAGAGCATACTTTTCTGACAGTGAATTCCTAATTTTTCCATCATTTGCCTCTGGGGATGCTGAGAATTTTAACATCATCAGGTCCTTGTTCCTTTTTGTTTAACAGTCCTTCCCTCCATTTATTTCTCCTCTTGCATTTTACTATAAGCAGCAAGAAGAATCCAAGTTGCACGTTCAACACTTTGCCTGGAAATCTCCTTAACTGAATATCCAACCTCACCTGCTTGCCACATAACTGCAGGACACAAATTTTACTAAGCATTCTGTCTTGCCTATCAAGGATCCATGTTCCTCACTTCCCTCTAAACCCTCACTGGCAGCATTTTTAAAGTTCAAATTTCTACTAACCATTTGTTCACAATGATTTAAGCTTTCTGTAGATGATTTGGGATTTCTCTACAATGCTCCTCACGTATTATATGCAGTGTCAGCAGTGTCTTTAATATCCACATTTCTACTAAGTCTGTTCAAGGTGACCTAGGCTTTTTCCATTATATTTCTCAAAATATTTCCAGCCTCCACCCACCACCTGATTTGCAGTGTCTTTAACATCCACATTTCTACTAAGTCTGTTCAAGATGACCTAGGCTTTTTCCATTATATTTCTCAAAATATTTCCAGCCTCCACCCACCACCTGATTCCAAAAGCATGCTCACATTTGAGGTATATGCTGTGGCTGTGCTCCACCACTAGGTAACAATATCTTTATTAGTTTTCTATTGCTGCATAGCAAATTACCACAACCTTCATGGTTTAAAACAACATCCGTTTATTAGCTCACAATTCTGTGGGTCGGTAGTCCAGGCAGGCTTAACTGAGTTCTCTGCATAGGGATTCCCAAGGCCAAAATCAAGGTATTAGCCAGCCTGGGCTCTTATCTGGAGGATTTAGGGAACAATCTGCTTTTAAGATCAGTCAGGTTGGCAGAATTAAGCTCCTACGATTATAGGACTGAGGCCCTATTTCCCAGATGGCTGTCATCCAGAGGCTGCTCTCAGCTCCTAAAGACTGCCCTCATTCCTTGGCACATGGCTCAATCCATCTTCAAAGCCAGTAACATCCCATAAAGTTGTTCTCACCCCCAAATCTCTCCAGCTTCCCCCGTTCTTCTACCACCTAGAGGGAACTCTGCTTTCAAAGGGCTCATCCATGGGCCCCACCTACCTGGATAATGGCTACATCTTAAGGCTGACTGATTTGGGATTGTAGTTACATCTATAAAATCCCCTTTCAGCACTACTAGTGTTTGACTGGATAAGCAGGAGATGGGAATCTCGGAGTGGGGGAGGAGTCATTTCTAGAAACCTGTCTACTACTATGGTATCCATCATTTCACTGAATTCTTGGAACAACTCTTCAGTAATATTATTATCCCCAATTTATAGATGAGGAAATTGAGGAATAGATAGGTTAAGTCACATGCTCAAGGTCACACAGCTACAAGTGGTAAAGCCAGGGTTAAAACACAGACTGCCTTATTCCAGAACCCACAGTCCTAACCACTGTACTGTGCTCCATGGATGATGGCTGACATCTACAAGCAGGGGAACTGAGAATGAATAACATAAGAATAAACAATGGTGAAGTGGAGAATGGAAAATAGCTGTATCCTAAATGCCAGGTTATTCCAGAACCCACAGTCCTAACCACTGTACTGTGCTCCATGGATGATGGCTGACATCTACAAGCAGGGGAACTGAGAATGAGTAACATAAGAATAAACAATGGTGAAGTGGAGAATGGAAAATAGCTGTATCCTAAATGCCAGGTCTTGTGGTAGGTGCTTTTTATGCATTGCATCATTTTACTGAATTCTAGCAACTACTCCATGAAGTAGTTACTATTATTGTTATTACTATTATTACCCTCTTTATAATTTCCTCATGGCAAAGCACTAGTAAGTACTCAAGTAAGATCCATCTGAACCCTACACACAGCCCACTGTTACCTGCTATGGGTGTTGCTTCCCCAGGACCTGGGTCCCTCAGGGCCAATTTGCATCCTACAAAGATCTGGGCCAAGGAGGATCAGGCCCATAGTCCTCTCTATGGCCCCTCACCTTCTGTTGGAGGCCACTGGGATCCTCCAGCCCTTGATCTGACTCAGCTCCGTGTCCGAGATCTCAATCTGCAGGGGTAGTCGGGGTGCCCACACGGTGACCTCAAACTGGGAGGTGAAGTGCTGGTGGGTGAAGTTCACAATCGTGTCCACCTTGCTCTTCATTTCCTTCCCATTCACAAAAATGGAATCACAGTTGTTGGAAACCTTTGGAGAGAAGGTAGAACCTTGAGATACATCAGCAAGAAAAGCACAAGCAAAAACTGACAACAGTAAAAGTTCATGAACTGCAAGAGCGCTGATTCAGTAGACACCAAGACAACCAGGAGAACATGATTTATACCAAAGATAATTCGTAGACACTAATTAGTGACAAATACTGGTAAAAAAGACTCCAGGATAACCATTTTGTATTACAAAATACTGACAAGTAAAACCATAAACATAATTTAATGGAATTACATAACCTCCATTGCCTTTTGTGTTTGTGTTTTCTTTATCTTATCTTTTTTTTTTTATGAACTCAAACTACCACTAATCAAATCCCAGGTGCATCATTTTTTACTCTTCACCATATTTAAAGATACATAAAAGGTTTTCATGTTACTGAAAAACCACCTTTTTCAAGCCATAAAGCGGATTATCTAAAAAATCAAGAGAGCTTTGCACTCAATTAAAATACTGGTAGGCAAAATACTCATGAAATGCATTAGAAACATGGATGTAACTATTTTTCCCCATTAGCCTATAATTTTGCAGAATAAACATAAGGATGTAGCATTTTGTTATGGTCTTTTGAATCAGCACTTGGGGGTACCCTCTCTAATGAGCTAGCGTTAGCAGGTTAATATTAGACAATTTAAGCACCCATTTCACTTTACATCTTCAGGATAAGCACATAAAATGTTGCTGACTTTCTCTCCCAGACCATCAGGAAAATGTATTCATATGTCTAGGTAGGGAGGGGAAGTAGGCAACAAAACCAATTCTGATGCAGAACACACAATATCATAAGTGGTGTGTGACGTTCCCATTCATACTGCCTGGGTACAGCATCCCCACCTCAACCAGTAGCAACACCATGCCTCCAAATTTGCAAGACACGGACATGGACTTATTCTTGACACTTCTCTTCCTCACCTGAATTTGTGCCTACAGCTCAGGCCTCCCTTCTGAGCCACAGGGACATCTGCCCAACCGCCTGCTTGATATAGTCAGGTGAATGGCTCAAGAACAAGGTCAAAAGTGCCAACTTCCAAACTCAAAGAGCAAGCCTCCAAGTTGTTTGAGACAAATGATCACCTCCCCCCACTGGCCTCAAAATGGCAGATATGAATGTGTGCCCATGAAAAAAAAATGAGCCTTTCACCACCCAACAGCTCTGTTTTTGACTCAGTAGTTCACTGTAGCTTGAAGTCAAAAGCCAAGAGGAAAATAACTAATGGGACCATTGAAACTTGCCCTGCATCCCTAGTCACAGAGATGGATCCCTGTCACTTCCACTTCAAAATGTCAATAATGTCTTTAGGAATCTTTAAGTATAAATAGCCCAGGGCACTAATTGGAACTGCAGAAATCACAGCAACTTTGACTCGGTAACTCTGATCCACAAAGCAATGAACAGGGACTGCTGAAGAGTAACTCTGAGTCTGTTTAAATTCTTTTTTGGAGCCCCTTTCCTATCTGTCAGAACTTAGCAGTCCCGAGTCCTTTTCCGGTAACTCTGATCCACAAAGCAATGAACAGGGACTGCTGAAGAGTAACTCTGAGTCTGGTTAAATTCTTTTTTGGAGCCCCTTTCCTATCTGTCAGAACTTAGCAGTCCCGAGTCCTTTT